AGACAGAGAGAGACATAGAGACAGAAAGCGAGAAATCACCCCCCAGGGGGGATGGTCACACCGCAATCCCTTCTCCTCCATTCTCCTCTCGGGATCTTGGGCACGCACGCACACGCGCCCGGCGTGAGTTTTAAGCCACCGGGTCCGGGATACGAACCGCGGTCGACTACGTGGGAGTCCAGCGACATAGCCATTACGCTAACTGCTAGTTCCCGTAACCAGACAGTTTTGATGGATGGATTAAAGTTGACTTTATGAAGCCAGTAAAACCTCCTTGAAAAATCTGGCCTAGTACCTTGAGTACAGGGTTCCTAGCCTTCTGGTGAGTAAAGAATGTTACTCCCTGACATGCCCAGGGACCTCAAGCTATTTTTGAGGACACTGAAGTCACTCAAATAGACACAGTCTAATGGGGGGGTCTTTTTTTGACTTCCCAGCCTGGAGAGGCTTTTAAAAGTCTAATCTGAGACTCCATATCAAAAGTCCTGGGAAAGCAAACTTAAAAAGAAGCAATGTGGTGGCTGGCGGGTGGTGTGGTGGTCAAGGGACTGGACTCCCACATGGCTGACTGTGGTTTGAGTCCCCTGGTGGCTTGCTTTCTCACCACTTGCCACCCTCCCCTACCCCCGCAGACACTCTCACTCTGTCCCTCTCAGGTCAAACTGAAATAAATTAAATAAATAAAAGTTAAATAAAAGAATTCTTTAAAAATAAAAAAAGTCCAATCACTATTCTTCTTGTGCTTATATAAATAGTCAAGTTTAATGAGCTTAAACTTATTTGGCAAACAAATTAGTCTGACTTTGATTATCATTAGCAGAAATGGGGGTGACTACAGAGAGAAAAATTATGTTTCAGGAGAAAAAACTACAATGCACCAAGTATTAGGTCATCAGGAAAGTCATGACATATTTTTTTATGCAAAAATTTCCACTATTCTCTGGATTCTGAATTCAGTCCCCTCCAATATCTGGCTATGACTCTCCCATTAAGGATCAAAAATGCTCTTGTTTCTGAAGCCCTGTGAACTGGGGCTGGATTTCAACAAATTTCAAGGGAGAAACCTCCTACCTAATGTGTGGGCTATTCAAAGAGTTCACCAAAACACCTCATACCATAACCAGAGACATTCGAACAGCAAACAAGGGTAAGGAATTGATGACTTTATGCTTTTTACAAGATATTAGAACAATACTCCCCATCATTTTGAGACTATTACTCCTCCTAATATTTTCCTTCCATATATCTACCTCTTTTGCTTAGCAAAATGCTGTAATTAGAATTTTACAACCAGTAACTTCTGTAGGTAACTTAAGGGAATGTTGGATTTGTCATGACAAATCCAGATCTTTATATGACCTAAGGGGTCTTTTGGTCCATCCAGTGGCTAACTTTAGCAACATTCCTAATGCAATTGTTTGTTGAAATCGTGCTAGTGGTCCCTTTTTAGAGTCAGACCTTTAGACTCACTATTCTCACTCTCTGCTTTAGTTTAACCCAGTCACTGGATTTTATAATTGATCATAGAATTACTACCTACTAGGTAACAGGGAGTAGTCTGTGCAGTTCCTAACATTCTTATCGCATGTGGTCAAATAGACTTAGCTGAAAAAAAATGAACAAACAGGTTGCTTGGTTAAAACAGGTAGATTCTCATCTGACTCATATTTTGATGTATCTTCCTAATAATCAGAATAGTAGTCTCTTCATTGTACTGTATCCTATCAAAGTGGGGCAGGGGATTTTAAAAAGCTCACAGAGGAGCCAGCAGGTGGTGTGGTAAGTTAAGGTGCTGGATTCCCACATGGTCGATCAAGTTTTGAGTCCTGGACCTGGTGGCTTGCTTTCT